TCTCTCTTTCAATCTATCAATCAAGCATAAGTAATTCTTACTCAACTTTCTACCTGCGTTCCTCACATTTCATTCGAAATGAGGGTCCCCCTAACAAAAACATAAAACAGCCAATCAAATCGTGAAATAGAAGTTGTTAGACATTGTTTTGGCAACTCGATCATATTGGCAGGAAAACCTGAAGGAACGACATTGTTCGGAGTCCATAGTATGCATGATAATGTCCAGAGTCGACCGTGGACGTGGTACATTCACAGACGTTTTGCCGGCTTCGTAGTCGGCATCGTCAGTGAGTCTTGTCATTCTTAGCACCGCACCACAACTCGTCAAAGAGACAAGTGAAGTCGATCCTCTGAACAAATGTGTGGCTAGACATTTGTGATATCTCTCCTTCTTTCCCAGCCTATTCACCTCTCCTATATCTTCGTATCACCCTTTAAAAATCACAATTTCTTACTTGTTTACGTAAACCTACTTGAAACCTATTCACACTCTCCGCTGGCCTCCATGTCCCTCCCACTCTGCCGGGAGTGTTGATCCAAGTCTGCAGTGTCGTGGTCTTCACATCTCAGATCAAATCATGGAATGCCGCATTAAGAACGCAAATTGAGGCACAAGAAATAAGTCAGCTTTCAGTTGGTCACCTTTCTTGGTTTAGTGTTTTTGGTGATTTCCCATGAATAATAGTTTCTTGCCCAGACGATGTCATTCACATGACGGACGATAGCTCGGCACGGATTCATCGGATTTGTAGGACGGTGAGCAAAGGTCTTCTTCGCACAATTCAGCAGACAAAAGTCCAACACAACCCTCCTTCGGTATCCGGTGAGACCAATCTGTGAATCCATTCCACCCGCCTTCTCAAACTAAACGAAAAGTCTGCTAGTATCAGTCAACTGAGGGAATCTTCGAAACTCAGCTTCTCTTTATACAGCAGAGCCCTTGTTGGAGCAGTGGTGACAGGGAATAGCAACCAAATGAGCCCAGAACGCAGTGGATCATGGGCGGAAACGGAAGACATGACTCACCAGGCGGATCCTCGACATGGTGACATCGGAGACCCAGTGAAAAGATCCGGTGCCATCGACGAAATTCGGCTTGTACGGCGGTACCAGAGCGGTGTGTGTCAGGCCGGGTCGTCTGTCGACGACCAGATTGTCGGCCGAAGCGACGAAGAATGGTTGTGCGATCCGAACGTGATGCTGTTGAGGATGTCCGGCCGCGGACAGGAGCGGTGTGGCGTAGGCCGATTGGACGGCCTGTGGGAAAAGATGATGTGGTTGGCCGGGCGGATGATGCAGTTGGTGTCCGGGTGGCAGTTTGAAGCCGGACTGTTGGTAGGCGGTGGAGAGGGCTGGCGCCACGAACTGGGACTGACTGCCGGCCACTCGAAGGGGTGGGAGTGCGGCACGCGCCATGTTCGCCGTCCATGTCCTCTGCTCCAGCCCCGGAAACCACGAAGTCGCCCCGGCCGGTGTACATGCTGTGCCCGGTACCGACACCGGCATCGGCACCGACACCGACAAAGTCACCGGCAGCGTCACCGGCAGCGTCACCGGCATCGGTACAGTTCCGTTTCCGTTCTGTCCTGCCGGACTGGCCAAAGGGGCGAGGAAGAAATCGCCCGATGAATTGGCCGTCGTCGTCAGAGCGGCGGATACCGCGGCCACGAATTGCACCGGCGGCGACGGTTGCTCCTGCCCGGAACCGGATGAGGGCAGGCCTGAGACGGCGAGGCTCATGAGGCCGACCGGATCGGCCAAAGACGACACGAAACCGGCCTCCTGAAGGCCCAGCTGGGGACAGCCGTAGAGATGTCCGACGCTGGGACTGGGCGATCCGCACTGGCAGAACAGATCATCAACACCCTACAACCAATCAGGGCGCGCAATGAAGCAATGAGCATGAGACATAGTAACGCCATTGATGGTTGGCGTGTGCGTGATCGTTCAAGAACAACAAAGGGTCAAAGATGGGCTTCGAAACAGCTTCAATGGCTCGTCTCAATCCGCCCTTTGTGCATCGAGAGCATCGTTATGCAACACGGCACATGAGTACGCAATCCAGTCATTAGACCGTTCAAAAACATTCGTAAACGTGATGGCATCCCTTCCAATTTTACAATTTGGTGAGAAAATATAATAGTATATCAAGCTTCTCTGAAAACCCTAGAATAGACATATGAAAGAAAGAGTGAAAAATTATTTAAATTTTTATATATGAAATATATAATCATGCGTGATTTGAGTCAGCTTCTCACCCCCGAGGATTACCTTATGCTACAGAGAAAGACAGACAAAATGCCATAAAGGATATACCAGAACAAGCTAAATAAATATGGGACCCATAGGCAGCCCAAGATCCAACCACTCGGCAAAAACGTAGATACCTCTAAAATAAAGAATCTCACAGTCGAGACAACAAGTAGAGATAAAGTAGTGAATCTGTCTTAACTCGGAAACTACGGAGATGCTCAAGAAGGAAAC